ACGGCCAGATCTAAGCATAGGCAATCTAGGCAGCCGCCTAAAAAAATAATTTTTCCTCGCAAGCAACAATAAATAAAGATACATTTCGCTTTGAATTATTAATATGCTTAATTCATACGGAGCATCAACTATAGTCTTCCCCTAAAATACTGGAGGACAAATTACTACAAAAGGGAAGCATTAGGACGTTCCTGTAAATATTAAAGATCTTTGCTTAAGCCTTCACACTGTCCGTTTCACTTTCATGGTCAGCCTCAGCATCCCTCTCATCACTGAAATTTTCATTGTTCTCCGGATCTACAGAGCGAATTATTTCTTTGTTGCTTAAGACTTTGAAAACTTGGTTCGCCCGAAAACTTTGTTCGAAACTTGGTTTTTAGATTTATTCATTCTGAAGCTAAATCTTCAGCCATGTCTTTGCATCCTTTAATCCTTTGAAACATGAATAGGAATTCATTCTCAGCTGGTGTTAGACTACTGGAGCTGTTTTCGTTACTCAACGCATGCAAACCAAATCTTTTATCGAAGCATAAAATCCGAAGGCCATTAAATGACCCATCACTGATAAGAAAGGCCAACGAATCAATCATTGATAACAGAATTCGCAAATATTACGGATTTTAATTGTATTTTTCTAATGTTACTACTACATTTTCCCAAAGTAAATTGACTTCCGGCTCGATTACTAAAGGCCTTGGTTCATAAAAGACTGATAACAGAGATTCTACTTATCTTACAAACAAATTAGAAGTCCGTTCTTCAACTGGATGTCGTTTAATCATACAATGAATTTTTCCAGTGACTGACGGATATAAGAAAATACTTTTTCTGATCTGTAGTAATACGATATCTAATTTAAAGAAATTTAAAATGAAAAAAGGGACGTAAATAAAATCTATATTTCATCCTCCACCTATTCTAAGCTCAGCATGAAATATTTTAAATGTTTTTCTTAATAACTGGACGCAATTATTAACAACGTATCAAAAAGTAAAAAATATGTAGGTAAATGTATTAAATTTTCGAAAAATTACATGTTAATATAGAGAAAATATGTTAACCAAATCTTCTTAATCCACCGAGCGTTACGGGTTTAGCCCGGAAATTTCAAAGTTCCTCAAAATGTCATGAATAAAATGGTATTTTCTTGATTATAATTAAAAATGACTTCCTAACTTAGTACAGTGATTCCTTATCTTCCAATATACTACATCCAACCCGAAATCAGATACATTAAAAGCTGGCAGGAATTTTCATGTGTAACGAATAAGAAAGTCACCCTCCTATACGGAATTTTCCGTTCTCAAGGTTAGCAACTGACATAATTAATTAATTACCACAAAGTAAACCATACGTAGGTAAATGAACTTTGGAAACTGAAGCTGAAATATAGTGAGATATGAAAAAATACTTTTGCAATGTGTTAGCCATGCTTACCATTACCTCAATCTTTCATGTTCTATCTCAAAGCAACTTTTCAATACATTAATGGTAAACTTTCTTTTTAATGGAGTCATAGCTGCTTGAAGAAGGGGTGAACAATTAATCAGCTAGTCTTTACATGTAATTTGCGCTGTACATCTTTAATTAATTACAACTTTGTAGGCTAAATGCAGTAGTGTATAAGGACCATTACGCCCGCTGCTTCCCAGTCTTGCAAATTTTTGCTCCTGATGAAGAGAGATCTGTTTGCCGTCGAAACTGATTGAATATTTTGTTTAAATGTACGTCAAATTCAAAGTTGTTTCTTTACTAATTTTAAATTAAATGGCTTAAGAGCAACAAATAATGAATTACTTATTTAGGCAGGCAGTTGCTCACATTAATTATTAATTTCCTCACAAATAAAACTTTTTTAAAAATGTTTGTAAAATCCATCTGAAGTATAAGAAATGAATCTGCCATCTGTAAAAGTTTTCATAACTATGGAACAATACCTGCGTAGCAGCGATTTTAATTCTGAAAGTAAAATTGAATTTTAAACCATAAGAAAGCTGGATAACAGTTCTGACATCCATGAAATGCTGAGTCACAAGTATCAAAGTTGCAACATCTGTGCATTACCCCATCTCTTAGCCGGGGACGCCCATATTAACATCAATCAGAGTTTCTAACCTTTTTCTTGAATCGACCGGCTTTTAAAAGAATAGTTTTCTTCGTTGACCCCTAATATTTTTATGTATAATATAAAGCGCGTGTAACATAAAAATATTACAAATGACTGTGCACATACATGATTTAACTTTAACAATTAGAGTAAGAATATGAATAAAAGTTTAACGAAAACGGTTTATTAGACATAATTTTTATTTTCCTTTTTTTTATATTTTCGATATCTTTAATTTTAAAAGTAAAAACAAATTAACAGATACAAAAATCTCAGATTCTAATTTCTCAAAAAGTGTGATGTTAATTCATGTGATGGCTGTGCTTGATGTGTTGATGCAATGTTTTAAATATTTAGCATAAAATTGCTTAATCTAATTCTTAAATCACCTCGTTCAGAAATATTCAACCTGTTTCTTGTTTTCTATAGTAAGTTATTGATTTGACTAAAGCTTGTACTTACTGAAGAAGAGGGAAAATTCAATAATGTGAGTTGTAGAGACATTAGGTATTTTTTCGAACAGAAAGAAGTGAAAAATGAGCAACGCCTTCGCCGGAAATCTAATCCCGGACCTCTGGAACACGCGCCCAGCATGCAGACCACCGCACCACGAAGGCACGCTAAGAAGGCGGGAGAAATACCTTATATACTCTCCCTTTTAAAGGGCGACTGGGATTTTTAGGGGACCCAATCGCCAAATCCTAGGTGTGGAGAATCATCAACCACCACCCTTTTAGTTCGGGCTGAGCTCCCAACGGGCTGAGCATGGAACTCTTGAGGTCCATGAAATTTTAAAGAGTACCTGTGATGATTAAGGGGTTGATAATCGAACGTTCACCAGCAATTGATTGGTACAATCAAGATCCCATTGATTACAAAGTATGTATTAATAAAATTGATAATTATTTATAGATATGATTTCTTTTATCGATAATGCTGTAGAGACATTAGGTAATTTGGAGGCAGGAAAGATGAAAAATGAGCAACGCCTTTGTCGGGAATCGAACCGCCGACCTCTGGAATACGCGTCCAGCGTGCAGACCACGAAGGCATGCCAAGAAGGCTGGGAGAAATACCTTATAGGGTAACAACTTTAATTTTGGGACATTCCTCTCGGGTGATTTTTAAATTCCGAAACTTAGCGTATTCCGTTGTTTTGAGTAAGAATTGACTTATTTGTATGTTAAAGTTTTATATCGATAAAAAATTATCAATTTTATTAATACATATTTTGCAATCAATGGGATCTTGATTATACCAATCAATTGCTGTTGAACGTTCGATTATCGACCCCTTGATCATCACAGGTATTCTTTAAAATTTCATGGACGTCAGAAGTATACTGACCCCGTTGGGAAGTTTGACGTAAATGAAGTATATTAAGCAGTTAAGAATCTCATTGGAAATAGAACTAACCGGAACTTAGTTTTGTACCATGATCATACATACTTGGCTAATGCCAGTTATTATTATTTGATTTCACAATATTTCATCTGTGTTTGACGCGATCATAGCGCAGTAAGCTATAGTGTATTACGTCACTTCCGTAACAAATAGTATAATGTTGCAAATTGCTTTCTGAAATTTACTTCAATCCAGATCCAGAAAATTTCACAACATTAAAAAAAAAACCTCTCTCCATCCAATGGACGTTTCAGATCATCAAAACAGCTGAGCAATAAATAAACAAACATGGAATATATATAAAAAATATGCATGTGTATGCTGATAAAATATAACATTTTCAAATGAAATGCTTCCAATATTATTAGAAAAAAGTGAGCAAATAGATATTTTTGTCGCTTATAACGATAATTGATCCCCATTTGTTTCTAATTTCGTCTATATGTAAGCACTTTTTTTAACATTAAATAATGGAGATCAAAGACCGTTCGGTATATTTTCTTGCATAAATCGAAAATATTTAGTGAATTGCTTAGAGGTTGGCTTATATACGACGTCAAAACGATTTAAAACTAATGCTATCGTGAAAGTGGGTATACTCCAACTGCGCGAATAAAAACTTCTCCCCCCCCCCCCGTCTGGGTATAGTCCAGCTACGCGAATCAAAATTTCTTCCCCTCGTTTCCTGCCGGGGAACTATAGGGTTACAATTTTACTTTTCGAAGCCACTTGTAGCCAAGAGGAAAATAAAAATACGCTAACGAAGAAAGTAAAAGGTATTAGTAAACATACATATTAGCATTGCAAACACCTTTCCGTAATTACATTGTAAGTTTTTAAGTTCAACCAAGTCAATCACTTTCTTCACCATGCATTAAATTATAGTTTGGATATTTACATATACCCACATTTAAAACACAAGTAATTTGGAAGATAGAATAAACAAACTAATTTCTTAACATATATCACATAAGTCACAGTTTAAGAACTTGCAATTACAAATACCTATCTTGTACTGTGATTTGAACCTTTTGCACAACATTACAATGCTGAATATTATTAAGAAAGAAAAATATATTCACTTAACTCATTTAAGGTGTTTTAACCCATTTCGCGTTTTTTACTAATACGCGTGAAAGTGCAGAAAGTCATTTTTCTTTTCATCGGTAGGTCAGCAGAAAAAAATCTCTTCCGCTTCATAAACTTCCTTCCTTTTTTAAAATGTTCTAACTCGAAAAAAGTATAAATAATTTTAAGAACACTGAAGAATACGCAAGAGGAAAGACCTTCATTTATTTAAAAATAGAAGATACCTTAATGCAGCAGTTCATTTACATTGCATCATCTGTCCTTTCAGAAATATGCTATAGATCTTTAGCGCATATCCGATCTGGTGGTATCAGACACTTGCTATCCCAGACCTTTATTTTATCTAATATATAAACTCGAGGTTAAACAAGCGTTCTTCACATCATTAGCTTCCCTTACTTCCTAAGGAAACACAAGGTCTTGTACTAAATAATTCGAAACCTAAACTTCAGAAATGAAATCTACTGCTACAGCCGTTCTTGCAGTCGTGTGCTTGATCGCCATCTTGACCTATGCATCTGGCAATCCTACCCCAGAAGAAGAGGCGAGACACCATCATCATGACCATCATCACGATCATCATGACCATCATCACGATCATCATGACCATCATCACCACGATCACCATGGCCATCATGATCATCACCACCATGATCATCACGATCACCACCATCATGGGCATCATCATCACCATGGCCACCATCACTAGAAGCAAGAGGAAAAGTTGTCACAGAGTGATGATCTTCACAGCAAAACATGGAATTCAAAATTTATGTGCGATAGAATTGATCTGTGATGATTTAATAAAATAAGAGATACAGCAATTAAGCTCTTTATTTCACAAATTTCCTTCAATTATAAGCTCTGCTTAACTAAATAACAAATTCATGAGCATTTAAATTTAAAATGAAATTAATTTTAATAGTTATACTACATCAAATACATTTCCTTTGAACACTTAACAACAAACAATCAAGCAGCGCAAAAAACCTTCTTTTGAGTTAATAATTAATAAATATAATGATTTTGCAGAAATTTATCAGGCTCAAGTTTCTGACTCAAAAATTTTCTCGTGAGAACTTAAAAAGTTAAAAGAACTTATACTTAAAAATACAATGCTTTTGAAGAAATATTTTTAGCACACATTACAGTCTTAGAGAAAAATCAAAAACCAAGACTTTACAATTAGCATAATCTTAACATATCTGAAATATACCAGCTGTAAGTGCCTCAATCCACCACTGCATGAAATTTATTTAATGCATTATTATTTATTGTTTCAAGCATTAGATTATAAGCAAACTTTTCCTGTTGTAGTACTGTATTATGTAAGCACTGTAAGACTAACTTCCAAATTAAATGCTGTAGCATTATTTCAATTAAGTACAAACTGCAGTCATGATTTATCCTATGTAATTTCTGATTTTAGTAACACCTCTTAAGCTACAAACGATTTCCAATCTAAGTTGCTGAAAAATATTAATAAAAATGTGGAAAAAAAACACGCTAATATACATAATGAAAAACAAAATATTATTTTAGGCAAAGTTTAACTGGGTATGTTCTGTAGTTTTATTTATTTACAAAAATATTTCTCTTTACGTACACAAATTAATTAAATTGTAGCAAGTGAAAAACACTTTCTAGTGATGAAAAATAAAAGATGGAATATGTATGAAACAATTTGAAATCTTATCGTGTTTTAAATTGGTTTAAACCATGTATAAACATAGACTGCTTTCGACTATAACCTGAAAATATTATTTCACAAAATATCTTTAAAGTGAGGGATTAAAACCTGAAACTAAAAAATTTTTTTAATAGCCAATATTCTAATTTTAATACTGTTAATTTCAAATTTCGGTAAAGAAAAAATATAAAATCGCAGTTTCCAAACTAAATCTAAAATTTAAGATTTGTATTCAGTGTAGGTTTCCTATAAGAATATAAGGCCCCATTCACGAAAGATACTACAGAGAATTCCTCTCTAGGCAGATGCCGGAAACAGTTTGTTTACATTGTGGAAGATTTGTGAGAACAAGCGAAAATCCCAGGCGACTCCTGTTAGTGGCAGTTATTGCTAGCGTTTAATAAGCGCGTGGGCTGGAGACGGAGCCTCGAAATAAACAAGAAGTAAACATTAAAGTGTAATGAGACAGAAACCTGGGCTTTAACTGAGTGTGGATATTAAGGAATATTTCTGCAACCAAGCAATAACATAACAAAATGAAGAATTTTAAGAGTATCTATACAGTTAAATAGCGAGAAATATTCTTACCATTTAACGCATGTGGCATTTCACTATTTAAATCTACAACTGATACAGTACTGCTCTTAACGTTTTACTTTCTCAGTCTAAACAAAGCATATCTCAAAATAAGTAATTAATAACTTCTGTGTATAACTGAGTATACGAAAGGTTAAAAACGTCAACGTAAAATTATGCAAAAAATACAACTTCAGATTGGAAATTGGAATTCAAATAAAGCTATTCGTCTTAAACAAAACTATCTACAGGACTCTCTTTCACACTATCAACGAAGTTTTCTTATTTCATATATTATTATTAATATTATTTATTTACCTGAAGCACCTCAAATTATTATTATTATTATATTATTTTCACTTAACATATAAATTCCGATCTGATCTAAAGAATATGGAACAGAAAAAATTTAGAGACCTTGATAAATAATCCTACTGAGCGAAACACAGGATTAATTTATCTTCCATGAGCCTTCCTGCATACAGGATTCTCAAAGTATTTCCAGACATAAAGCATTTAATTTACTTTCCTAATTGATTCAGTCTGTTACTGATTGATAAACTCATTGATTTAATAGTAATGGTTTGACATTATGATAAATTATAACAACTTTAATTTATCGTCTGTCAAACCTTGTTCGAAGCCGGTTCTCAACGTGTTGCTTTCTTATTGCTTATCTTTAATTTATTTATCAAATTCAATCAGATTCTTACTGATTAAGCAGGTAAATTAATAGCTGAAATCTTTAATTATCTTTTTTTAATAACACATCTAATTTGTATAAAATAAATACATTGACTTTATAATACAAACGAATGATAATTAGTCAAAGATTTGTAGTTTTGTTATAAATAATAAAATAATATTTTAACTCTATATGTTACGTAATTAATACAAAATCAGTCGTGTTTTATAATTACAATGTTTTTGAAATTTTTAACGATAAATTCTTTTTAAAAATATTACACAAGTCTGGAATTTCCAGAATGCAACTCTCCTTCTCCTTCAGAGGGTCATCCTCAAAATCGATACAGTTTTATTTAAAATGTATATTAAAATTTTTAATATAATATAGTTACTTATTTTCTTCTAATTTCATATAACTGATTACATATTTTAAATGTGTTCATAGAAAAATTAACTTTATTTTGGGATCCTAGGCGATCACAACTCGTTAGGCAAAATTTTTAGCAATGGTAATTAAAAGTTTATAACAATATTAAATATTTGAAACTTAAAACTGATTTCAGAGTTCATATATTTTTTCTGCACCTAATTTCATAATCAAAAATATGCAAAATGAATCCAGTATGTCTGATTACCAATAAATAAATCGTCATATAAATAAATTATATCCATATATCGTCTAAAACGTATTCTATATAGTTTGTTTTTGTTATTGATAACTTTTTTAATTCCTGAATAATTAATTAGGCTGAAAATTAAATATATGAGACCAGCACAACTTATCTGTCTAATCAAGAATATTGCGCTCGGAAAAGCTATATAATAAATATTAAACATACGTGATACTCATGTATATGCTAAATTAAGTATTATCTATTCAATAAATTTAAAGTATTAACAATTGTAAAGGATGTAAACAACTATGTTTGGTATTTATTCCATATGAAAACTCTCGATATTTTTGGAAGGCAAGCCTTTTAAAAGACTGATTCTGTAAACGCATAATAATTCTAAACTTTAATTTTACGAAACAAAGCAAAGCATAACCCGCATAGCTCTTTGATTGAATTTTTAACTGAAACGATGTAGAGACATTAGGTATTTTTTGAAAGCAGGAGAGATGAAAATGAGCAATGCCCTCGCCGGGACTCGAGCCACAGACCTCCCGAATACACGCCGAGTGTGCTGGCCATTACACCACGAAGGCATGCTAAGAAAGCGGAAGAAAACCTTATATACCCTCTCTTTTAAAGATCGACTGGGGATTAGGGCACCCAATCGCCAAATCCTGGTGATGGAGAATCGTTATCCACCACCTTTTTTAGTTCGGGTGCCACTGTAGAGTTATGCAGTTTTTTTTTTTTTTTTTTTTTGACTCAGGAAGTTGAAGAATATTTCGGTCAATTTTTGTCATATGAGAGTCAAACTTTCTGTTTTTTATTTTTATTAATAAGCATAATTTTTTTTTATCTAAGAATAAAGACCGATAGACCGCATACAATTTTTATAAAATTGATTCTCTTAAATTTAGGAATGCCAAAACATGAACCTTTGAGTCATTTAAAACATTTTCACAACTAGGAAAAGCCTACGGTTGAGTTAAAAATAATCCAAGTAAAGACTTTTATGCACATGGGTATAGCAACTTAATTACAGTTGCATTTCAGAAAACCGAAACTGAAAGAGGAAGTTATTATCCCCCACTCCTTGCTTCTTCTGCTTCGACTGCACACGCTAAATTTAATGACTGAGAACGGCATTAAACGAAATAATAGATACATACAAAAAAATATATATATAAATAGATCATAAATTAAATCTTCAAAAATATATCCTCATATAATTCTTATTATTCATGAAAATTAAAGTATTTTATTACATTATTCGAGTCATTTTGACCTTGCATGAAATCTGCGATAACGTCCTCTTAAATTCTGATGGTGCTGCCATCTAACGGTAAAATATTGAACATCAGACCGTTAAATTTCACTAATGTATTGTATCTGTGTTTCGAAAAATAGGTTTCACACACTGAAATGTTCTATTGCACGCACTTAAAATTTCAACTGTCAGAATGACATTTTGCCATATTTAAAGCCTATTTTGCCTATCACACTTTTCTGAACAAGGATAATATTTCCGAAATAATATATAAATAAAATTTCAATACATTTTTAAGGAGCTTGAATTTTTTTAGTTTATGCATACCTGAAACAAGTTTGTCCTAATACTTTTCTTCAAGGCAGTTATATTAAATATTACAAGCAGCGGGTATTATAATACATATACTCATGCTAACATAAATTATTTTCATATAATCCTTATTTGTATATCTTATGATAATTTCAATTACGATAATGTCAAATTAAGATGAATTTATGAAAATACAGAAAGTGAATGTATATTTAACTGCGTACTGAAACTGAATAACTGAAAGTGAATTTATGTTCCATTGACGAGATGATGTAGTTATATAAGTGCAATTAATATATGACTCCTTTTTAAATTTTTTTATGAAATTGCAACACAAGATATTTAATCTAAGTGGATGATTTTTTTAAAAATAAGGTTGCATATTAAATGATAATTTAATCCAAAATAAATTCCCGTCTCAATCCCTTCCAAAATAAAATGCCATATCTCCACAATAAAATATCTTGGGTTATCACAATATTTTTATGGCCATTCTCGACATTTTTACTAACGCACTTTTGACTCGTAAAAACTCAAGTAAAGTCATTTGGGCACGAATCTTTCCTTACATGGACAAAATAGAAAGAAATTTAATTATCATTCCGCTGGCGCTGCCCTCCATCAAACACAAAAAATATAAAAATAAGTCAAACTATAATAAAAAATTGTAAATCGCAATTAAAAGGCATTCATACT